TAGGTGTGGAGTAGGCTGTGCCCTCTAGGATTATGTAAGTGCACTAAACGATGTTTGCAAGGTAGTGAAATCTCCTAATGACACATTTCCAGAACATATCCATCCTTCAGCAATGCATGACTGTACCTAAAGTAATGAGACTCTGAAGGTTAAAAAATTGTTATTGTAAAAGTAATAAAAATTTTTAAAAATGCAAACGAAAAATATCTCAGAAATTTACAAAACTTCACTCATCGTTAACAAAGTTAACGCTTTCCTTAGTTTTTGACAAATTCAATATATAAAAATAAATAACAATTGCTCAGTGGTTCTCTGATTTTCTTCTCCCAATACATCACTCCCACGTATGACATGCCTGTCAGTAGCATCCTGTACTATATTATGTTGGTTTATAATCTGTGGGATCTCTCCTTCAAGAAGGTATCCTTCAGAATCTTGGGAGAGGCTGGTTGAATTTGAAAAGCCTTTCTGCTCCCTGTTTCTGATTTGCTCTTACCCTAACCTTAGAATCACTATTTCGAGGAATATGCATTATATTGTATCAATATGTTATATCTAATATAAACAAATAATAATCAACCCTAAGTGGAGAATATATATTTTAAAAAATCACCCATTTTCAACATTTTAAGGACATTATATTAATTATGTAAAATATTTTTTAAAATCTGTACATAAAAATGCAAATCAAACTTTTTTAAAAATGACAAAACTGGGGGAGTTGCATCAGATAAGACAAATGTGAATATTATTCTTCATATGCAGGGAAAAGCTTTAATGAGAAAACGTGTATGATTCAATAGAAGTATTAACAATGTTGCTGGGTGCAGTGGCTCATGCCTGTAATCCCAGCATTTCAGGAGGCCAAGACAGGTGGATCGCCTCAGGTCAGGAGTTCATACCAGCTGGGCCAACATGGTGAAACCCTATCTCTACTAAAAATACAAAAATTAGCTTGGTGTGGTGGTGCACATCTGAAATCCCAGCTACTTAGAAGGCTGAGGAAGGAAATCTCTTGAACTTGGGAGGCAGAGTTTGCAGTGACTTGAGATTGCACCACCGGACTCCAGCCTGGGTAACAGACTGAGACCCTGTCTCAAAAAAATAAAATAAAATAATTAAAATTAAAATTAAAAAAACAAAACAAAACAAAAAACAATGAACCTGCTTAGACACATTGCAAAAGAAGTAGAAATGGCTAATAAACATTTAAAAATTAATCTCTCTAGTAATCACATAAATACAAATTAAAACAATATTCTGACACATTTTGCCTTTCAAATTTGCAGTTATTTTTAATCTGTAAAACTTGGTGTTGGCTAGATAAAATGAAATGCACAATCTTGCATTCTGCTTGCTGGTGAAGGCATAATTTGTACAGCCTTTTGGGCAGTATAAAAATCTCTATCCTTTTCTTGAGAAATTACCATACATTAAGCATAGTGTTACACACTTTACAGATACCCTATAGGTAACATTGATACAGTGCATTCCACATGTCAAGCACTATGCTGTGTGCCTTACATATATATGAATTCATTTAATCTCCACAGCTGCCCTGGGAGGCAGGTAGTTGTATCTCATTCTTATTTACCTACAAGGAATCTGAAGTACACAGAGATTTATTGAATTGTCCAAGTTACACAGCTAAAAAGGGTTAGTGCTAGAATATCATATCACTTAATATTTTTAATATTCTTCTGAGGTAAATATTACTCTCCCATTACATAGGTTAAGACTTATAGATCCAGAAGAATGTGGAACTTATCTAAGTCACAGGGAAGGTATATAGCAGAGATTTATAGCAATGTCTGACTTCAAAGTTCAAGACTATACAATGTCTTAAGAGTCTTTGATGCAGTTCTTCCATTTCTAGGGGTTTACTCTATCATCATTGTTAGGAATTCTCCTAAGGATTTACATGAAAATTTCTTTAAATTGTGTTAATTACAAAAGTAATTGTTGGAAACCCAGGAAGTAGAGGGACAATGAGACAAAATATGATTTCACAAGAGGCAGTGCGGGGACATGGATGAAGTTGGAAACCATCATTCTCAGCAAACTAACATGGGAGCACAAAACCAAACACCACATGTTCTCACTCATAAGTGGGAGTTGAACAATGAGAACACATGGACACAGGGAGGAGAACATCACACACCAGGGCCTGTCAGGGGTGGGAGGCTAGGGGCGGGATAACATTAGGAGAAATACCTATTGTAGATGATGGGTTGATGGGTGCAGCAAACCACCATGGCACGTGTATAACTATGCAACAAATCTGCACATTCTGCACATGTACCCCAGAACTTAAAGTATAATAATAAAAAAAAGGAAAGATTTTTGAGGAGAGGTACAGGATGTTGGACGATCTGTAGAACAGAATCACGACCAGGGAGAAAAAAAAATGCTATGAAAAAGATGAGAATAAGTATTACAGTTATCCAGGTAAGTTGTCCAGGCAAAAGATGGTAGTGGTTTGGGCTGGCCAGTAGATAAGAGAAGAAGTGGATGAATTTAACACATATTTTGGAAAATAGAATGACAACTATGGATATGAGGTGTGAAGGAGGTAGAAAGCCCAGAGTAACTCTCAAACTTGATTAACTGGGTGGCTGGAGGTATCTACTAATCATGAGAATGCAGAAGAAGCAAGAGTTCAGGTTTGGTAAGTGTAGGAGGTGAGAGACATCCAGCTGGAAATGGCACTGTGTCCAAAGGCCTATTCGATGCAGACATTTGGATGTCTAGGTGGGATGTGCATTTAGGAGTCAACAGCAGCAGCAGCTACCAGGTTTTTGATGTTATGAGAATCAGTAAAATTTCTGGAGCAAGCCGGAAAAAATGAAAGAGAGAGAAGAGGGACCAGTTCTAAGTCCCGAGAATCTCCAATATGTCGTCACACTTTAGAAGTAGTAGTAAGCAAAGGACAGTGAGAACAGGGTCCCTGGAGAACCAGGAGGTAAGCAGAAGAGTCACAGAAGTGAAGAAACATTTCGAGAAATGATGAGAGAGTTACTGTGTAGAATGCTGAAGAGTGGTGAAGACAAGGAGTGTAAAGCGTTTTTTGCCTATGTAAACATGGCAGTTCTGGTGCTCTTCACAAAAGTAATGTGCAGAAGCCAGATAAAGTGAAGACAAAATGTACGCAGATACTTCATGCCAGACGACAGCCAAAAGGAGAGTGGGAGCCATAGCTGGAAGTTTAGACAGAAAGATTTTTGTGATTAGTTTGGGTTAGTGTGTTGGTTTTTAACAGTGGAGATAAAACTTGAATGACCCTAGGAAGAATCCACCCAACAATGGTTTTCAAACTCTGGCATGCATCAGATGTAGCTGGGGGCTTGTTAAAACAAAGACTACTGAGCCACACTGCAGACTGTCTGATTTCTTGGGTGTGGGGTAGGCAGGAGAATGTGCATTAGCAAGTTCCCAAGTGAACCCAGTAATGCTGGTCCTTGGGCCGTACTCTACTGCAGCAGAGAGAGGCGTTAAAAACACAAGTGAGAGGAAGATAAACTATCAGTAACATCTCTGAAAAAACAGGAAGAATCAGGGTCCAGAGGATTTGTGAAGATTTCTATTTTTGATAGGATAAGAGAAGCTTTGTAAAACAGAAAGGAAAAAAAAGTGTGAAAATAAAAAATAATTATGAAAATAGAAAGATAGCATAGCACACACCTCCTATATGTCAAAATGGTTTTAAGTGTTTTAGCATGCATTCATTCATCCAACCCCTAATAACAACTCCATCAGGCAGATAAATGCAATTGATAGGTACATTTGGTAGTAAGAAAGTAACAGAAATCCTATACAATAGATTGTTTTTTCTCTGGTGTCTAATTTAATCTAAAATAGAACACTGTCAGCTGAGTAGGTTGAGAAAGGGAGGTAACGTGTATAGTTTGGAAATATATAAAATATTTAATCAGGAGAATGGGGGAAGGAGCTTATTCTGGAAATACGGTAGGACTGGTGTCATTACTGAGTGCTCATTCGAAAGTGGAATTGAGCATTTTTAGCAATAAACTACTTGATATTTTCTAGCCCTTGTAACTGCCACATGCAAATTGTGAAAGGCAAGCTGTGGGCTTCATCAGGTTGGGTTTTTATAAGGTGGAAAAATAGGAAAGAAGTGAAGGGTGTGAATTTGTTTTTCTTTTGCTAAAAGTTGGTAGTATATTTGGGCTGTGCATTTCAAGGAGTCTAAAGAAGAAGGTAAAGGCTTGAGGGAATTGACCAACAGGATTATGAGAAAACATTTAAGGTTTTTCTAACATCCATTCTGACTGTTCACATTGTAAGATTTTTTGGTAGAGGAAAATGTTCTTTTCTATCAAATTTGACACATTTACTTTCTTTTTATCAAAGGCTTAAATTCAACTCTCCCCTTAAATGTGCTTTAACATTTCATGAAGCTGAAAAATGTTCTTACTACACACGCACAAATTTGAGTGTGAGATGTGTTAATGGTGTGTATGAGTATATTTCATTATAATTATTCTGCATGGCACACCACACTGTGAGAAATCGATTCACTGATTTGCCAGTCCAACTAACTGGGGCTCTAAGACTCTTCCACCTTGAGATAATTAGGTTTAATCAGCAATTTTACAATACATAATAGTGGTGTGAACTGGGGCTAGTCCCAAAGAGTAAATTTTTGCTTGGTGAAATAAGAATTTGTACACAGGGTTTCCAAAAGAGATCTATATGGTGTTAAAGGGCTATAGCTACCTATGATGTAATCTTTGGGGAACAGGTGGAATATTAACTTTAGAATGAAGATTATCCATGAGAGCTCATGTACATTGTAGAATTATCCTTTTTATCCTAGGTAGATACAGGATCCCACTATATTAGATGGTTGTTTTTTTTAATTAGACAAAATATATGTATATTTAACACATTTTTCTAAAGAAGTTTGCAGAAGATTTTTATTTAAAATCCAAACAAAAAGGAAGTTAATAAGATCTACTTCATTAAAGAATTGCCTTTACCTGTGAGGGTGCTTGTATTGACAAATTCAGCAGTGGCAGAGGGCATGTGGGGTGGACGGGTGTTGTCCTCACTGTAGGCTTTCAGGATGTACTTCTCAATTACACCTCTGACAACAGGTTCATCCCAGGTCACCTCAATGCTGTATCCATTTAAGCTGTGGACTCTTGAGGGAGTTGGCACACTTTGTGGAGCTGTGAAGGAATAAAAGAGAAAACAGGGAAAATGGCAGTTCTGAGAAGACTATCGCTCCTATTCTTCACTTTTAATGGCCACAGTAAATCAGGCTCAACCATTAGCATAAATACAATTTATTAGAGTTGTAACTTTTCAGCATTGATTTAATATGACTGCACATCTTGAGCCATTCAGTTTAAGCGATATTTCAAAACCATCAAAACTCCATCGACATAACATTCTTTCAAGTCTAGTCCAGGTTTTCCAAAAACATTTAATGTACCAGACGTGTTTAAACATCACTCATAAAAAAGGAGGTGGATAGTAGGCAGATAACAAGTTCAAGCAATATAATGATGTACCCCCTTTGAAGCAAGATAATTAGACTGTTATTATACATAGTGGTTTGACACTTTTATATCTTCAACGTATTAGCCAAAAAAGAAAAATCACAAATGTGATTGTGTTGTACTTGAATGCCTGGGCCCATTTTCCAAATTCAATTGTTTTTCAAATTAATTTCTAAAAAGCAAAGTTCTACAACATATGATATATGGAATATATTCTTAATTGCAGTTTTTTTGGGGAGGAGGGGTGGGATAAAGGAGCTGGTGCCCTTCAGATTCTACAAAGTCATTTTCAAAGTCTTGTTCTGCAGAATATCTCAAAATAATAACACAAAATGAGAACGATTAAAAGAACTGCAAAACCTTAGTTACAACTGGAGCCCCCTAATTTTAAAAATCTATAATCTTTAACCATTTATTAGACATTTCTACAGTTCTGATCAGTAAAAACTTCATCACAGCTGAGTGCACTGGGGACACAAAGAAAGAGCCCAAGGAACTCTGTGGCAGGATGATGGATGAGAGACCTGCTCTGGCTGCTCATGGACTCCCGAGCCCTGTCGATGGAGGATCACTTTGGTTTTTCCACGTCAGATCTCCTCCTCTCCGACTTTACTGTTCAGCCCAATAAAATAGGACAGCTTTAAGGGAAACAAAGTGAACATAAAGGATAAGAGGAAGCACCGACGGGGAGAACCACTCTCTGGGCAGTTAAACCACCACGGGCACCTACAGAAAACACACAGGCCACACGATCGAGTTGCAAGACAGGAACAATGGGAGTGATGTTTATTTTATTAGTTCTGAAATCTGGTACAGGGCAAAGTACAGTACTGTCTAACAGATGGTCTTCTCATAAGGGACAGAGCAAAACTGACTAAAAAATAATTAAATAGTGCAATTATTCTCCAACCCTTGGGAGCATGTAGCTGCTCAGTGTTGTGGTCAGATTGTAGATATGAATTTATGGCATAGGACTGTGGTCATATCATTGCTATAAATTCAGAGCTCTATTTGTGTACTTTCTCAGTAGTACTCAAAATGGGGACTATTAAGCTAAGTAAGCAATGTGCTTTCCAGACACCTATTAACGTTGCTGAATTACATGCAAAGCAGGCTTTATAATATATTTGTTAATAAAGTAGAAGGGTATGAAATAGGAGCAGAGAACATGTCAGTAACAAGTGAGCATTTTATATTGGAGCTTTCTCTTAGCTCTGAAGTTCAAAAGGATTTTAAGAGATCGTTCAGATCACTGTCTTGCCTATAAATAGGTGATAATTTAAATCATCCTGAAAAAGTGTCAAGTTGTCCTCTTCTGGAAAATATATAGGTAGAGAGTCTTGAAAATGACTCTTAGTTGCTAATCTCAGTATTTACTTATATTTTAGATTAAGAAGATTCCTCAAAGGGTGCCTGGGATAGTAACCCACTATTGATTAAGTATAAGAGAATACCTTGATGAAAATGCATCTTTAGACAAATTGTTACTTGCTGAAGAAACTTTCTTACAGAGATATAGGTGGCAATCATTTAGAGATGTGTTCAGTTTTCTGACAAATATTTGACCCCAAATGGTAGAATGCTATTGATTAACAAAACTCTTTGTGCTGAATGCTTTCCTGTGGTGGTATCATGGGAAAAGATTTTGTGGCCAAAGTACAAAACAAGTCAGTTGTCTGAAATTAGGTCTAATGTACACTGTCTCCTAGTTGGTTCTCTTTCAACTCAAAAAATATTAAACCCATCAGCAATTTCTCTCTTGGGAGAGTCATTCTAAGATTCTAATAGTCAACAACTGGGCAAACATCTGCAACCATGTCACAGACACACCTGATTCCAACCAGTTGCAGGTTTCAAATGTGCTTTCTACAAGAGTGTCAAGAAGGTGTCACCCCATCTAAGGATAATCCTAATCTCTGACCTCAGTTTCTTGGAATCTACACCATCTGTAAAGGTTACTTGTCCTTAGACATATTAGGTATGTGGGACTATTACAACCTTAAGACAACCTAAACTTTCCTTTCTTCTGCATCCTAAGAGGAAAGGATCAAGCCTGAGCAAATATTTAGTGAATTGTTGCCAAATCAAAAGCGCTTATCTACTAAGCATTTTAGCCACTGACATGTATTTTCAAACCAAGGCATGCTCTGTCAGAAGACTACAAAAATATTACCACTTTAGGGTAACAGTCCTTCCATTTGTTTACATGCACAAACACACGCATGTGTGTGTGCACATATGCATCCGAAGGTAAGTACCTGCTCCTTTCGTACGTCCTCGACTCCAATCACTATACACTGAGCCTCCTTCATGCGAGGCTGTCACCCGATACAGGTATTCTTAAATGGAAAGAAGAAGCAACAAGATTAAAATAATACTCATACAGACTAACAGGAGGCTGGCAGGGAGGGAAAGGGGGATGAATAGGAGACACGTAGCATTTAATTTGGAGGACCTCCACATTACCTGCAAAAGGCTGGAGACCACCCTCATAAACACTCTGCTCTTTTCCCTGGTAAACCAGGATGGAGTCATTTCCCCTGCAGTTAACAGCACTGTCAGTTGATAGGCATCCATCCAGATTGACTCTGACAGCACCGCTGGACACAGATGCCAAGTTAACGACAGCACCCCGTGTAAATTTAACATCCTTCATGCAACCACCGAAACCTAGCAAATAGTAAGGGATTAGTATCACATAAAGGGCTTGAGTCATTAATTACCAATCATTTTTGTCCTCTGCAGTACTACATTTTGAGGAAGGGTGGGGGGTTAGATACAGTGCTAGACTTTCAAGTCTTGTCTGGGAAATCTTTTATGCCTCCCACTTTTTAATCAAACTAATTTGTTGCAAAGAAATATAGTTCTGTTATTTGGAAAACACATTCGTGGATAATTACAATTTAAGTTTTGGTATGGAAATAGCATTTATTTTACCTCTTTAGATCCACATTTTCTAAATTCTGTTTCTTCCCATAAAATAAAATTTAGGCAACTTTGTATTATGGTAGGGAGATGGCCCCATGTCTCTTAATTCTGAAACATTAAGTTACTACATAAGTCAGTATTAAGTGCCAAAAAATAATATTTGAATTAGCATGATTATTCAATAAGCTCATTGGGAAAAAATACACTCTGAGAATTTTATGCAGAATAGCAGGAGAGAGAACATAATTTCAAAATATATTAGAATCCTGAAATATTGCCATGAATTGCATAATAATCACTTCAGAGGCATAGAATTTAGCCCAAGTTACATCAGCCTATGGAAGAGCTGTCACAGTGCTCTGTCATTTTTCACAGAGTTCCATAATCTTGAATATACAAAAGCGTTACCAGTTTTACATCCCCATTAGCATGACAGGGGCCAGCCTTCAGGGTTGGCAATAGCAACACCATGAGATTTCATGAATGTGTGCTCTACACAGGTGACTTTAGCACACCCACTGTGCGGTGCCATTCTGTGAAGTTTAAGAGAATGCGGATGAAATGAATTTAGAGTATTTGCTACTTTATTGTTAGACAGCAAACAAAAAAGTCATCCAGTCAGCCAGGGAATACAGTGTCTTTGAATTACATGCTATTTTGTGAAAACAGAGAGCTCAGTGAAGTCTGGCAGTACTCTGTGCAGAAAACTGCACGAAATTGGGACACACAGGACTGAGTTTGAGATGCTGTAGTGTGCATGTTCTTTCTCTTTGAACAAAACACTGTAAAGTTTGAAAGACCTCAAACACATGATCAGCTCTTTTCAAAATTAAAGCACAGCAACAGGAAATGGAAATAAAATATAATGCAATGCATAACAGTAAACTAAGTTAATAGTAACAATGACCATATTGTTCTCCTCAGCATTTATATGATGTCTTATTATGCCTTCTAACACATTAATGCAGTCTATTTCCTTTTAAATGTCTTTTGCTATTATCCACATTTCTTAGTCCCAACTGATCAATACTGAAAGTCTATCTTAAACACACAGTATACACTCAATAAGTGGGGCGAATTGAATTGAAAGCAATGAAGCTCAATATAAAATCATTTGCTGGAAAATTCAGAATCTGAGAATTTTAATTTCTTTACCAGCAGTGATTTTCTGATGGCACATAGCTGCATTATCTAAATTCTCTGTGCCCTAACTTCCCCACCAACAAACTGAGAACAGTGGAAGGGCAGGTTGGCAAACATGTTAAGTGCTGTTATAAGAAATGCCACATTATTTTTTGAAGGGCACACAGTTTTAGTTTTGCAGGATGAAAAGACTTCTTCAGAGGGATGATGGTGATGTCTGCAAAACAATGTGAATGTACCTAATACCACTAAACTGTACATTTAAAACTGGTTACAATGGTAAATTTTATGTTACATATATATTTACCATAATGTTTTAAAAATTAAAAATTTAGGCCTGACGTGGTGGCTCACGTCTGTAATCTCAGCACTTTGGGAGGCTGAGGAAGGTGGATCATGAGGTCAACAGATCGAGACCATCCTGGCCAATATAGTGAAACCCTGTCTCTACAAAAATAATACAAAAATTAGCTGGGCGTGGTGGCTTGCACCTGTAATCCCAGCTAGTCAGGAAGCTGAGTCAGAAGAATTGCTTGAACCCAGGAGGTAGAGGTTGCCGTGAGCCAAAATCACACCACTGAACTCCAGCCTGGTGACATAGCAAGACTCCCTCTCACAAAAAAAAAAAAGAAAAAAAAAATTAATTTGACAAAAAAGTGATAAAAATTCATTCACAAGATGAAAATTTCAATTTGAGAGAGCCTAGGGAGACAGACCTTCCTTCATTTTGGAGACGAAGAAAAAGGCCCAGAGAGTTATCAAATGAAGTTTGTAAGCACTAGTCCTCCTGAGCAAATAGTCCTCTGGCCTCAGGCCTTGGAGACAAAGCTACTGAGCTCTAGTGCAGGGTCCTTACAGTGCTCTTTCAGCGGCAATCAGAGAGTTCAGTTAAGTTAGTCCCATGCTTTTTTTTTTTTTTTTTTTTGAGACAGAGTTTCACTCATGTTACCCAGGGTGGAGTGCAATGGCGCGATCTCGGCTCACCGCAACCTCCGCCTCCTGGGTTCAGGCAATTCTCCTGCCTCAGCCTCCTGAGTAGCTGAGATTACAGGCACGCACCACCATGCCCAGCTAATTTTTTGTATTTTTAGTAGAGACAGGGTTTCACTATGTTGACCAGGATGGTCTCGATCTCTTGACCTCGTGATCCACCCGCCTCGGCCTCCCAAAGTGCTGGGATTACAGGCTTGAGCCACCGCGCCCGGCCTGTCCCATGCTTTTAACTCTGTACCACCGGAAATGCTCCCCAGCCACGTAAAACATTTGAATGGGATGTGAGGACAAGAACAGAAAGGGCATGTGAGAGGAGTGGAAATGCCTTCTTTTCTTACTCCCCTACCGTTGTGAGAATCCAAAAAAATCCCCAACCACACCATCACCCCTGGGCCTCTAAATGACTAAAAGGTGGCCCAGAGCTCTAGGGTGACAAATCAGAAAAACATTAGCCCTTCTTCTAGGGAAGGCAGTACTGCCACAGGGCTCTGGTTTGGCAAGGCCAGCTGGATTTCAGCCATGCCCCCTCTCCCCTGGCACCCCGCCCTGCCACCAGTTTCTCCCTGGTGAAGAAGGGGTTTGGGCAGAGCATCGTCTGTGAGACCACATGCCAGACCCAGTCATGTCCAACCTAGATGTAAGTGATACCCTCAGTGATCATTCTAAGAAGATAAACACCCATCATCTGAGCTGGCATATTTTCAGCAAATCACATTGCCCACCATTTCCAAAACAAAAAAGAAAACTGGCCTTGTATCTGATTCGGAGGAAGATTATAATGTTAGGGGATTAAAAAAATAGCACTACTATGACCACAGAATAGAGCTTCTGATGGAAAAAAAAGGTGCTAACTAAGAAGCACAGAAAAGGAACAAGGTTTTTAAGACAATTGATAGTGGGCTGAAAGAAATACATTAAATGAACATGACTTGTTTTAATTGCAATTGACTACATGCATGCTGCACCTCTGTATTGTGACTAGTCTTCCTGACCACCACATAAAACATGCAGTTATTTATATAGATCAGTGTCTCTTAAAGCATCGGAGTCAGGATCTTAGGGACAGGGGTCTCTAACATCTGTATTTTTGATAACCATTCCAGGTGATGGCAATATGTCTTCAATAGTAATAATAATAGCTAACTTTGACTTCTGTGTTTCAGCTACCATACATCAATTTTTTTCAGTGTTTTGAGAACCACTGATATGGATGATACTGCAATGATAAAAATTTAATATTACCCATAAATAAAATCGCTTCCAGTATCACATACTTTGTCATAGTGTGTAGTTAGAATTATTCCCTTTGGGTCTATGGTGATGTTTTAAACTTCTGTTATTATCTTACAATTTCAGTTTTAGCCGTGTCTTCAGGACCATCAGTAGTAACGGATTTGGGTGTCGTTCAAAGCACAAGGCTGTATGTGCAGGGCTTTTGTTTTTTGTTTATATTTTTCCCCCAAAAGCAAACAGGATTAAATAATCTCACTCGTACAAAGGGTTTTCAAGTTCTTTCTAACCTCAGAAACCTGAAAACCTAGAGAAGCTCTTACATGAATGTAATATTTTTAGCTGCTGTTACATCTTAAGTGCCTTGAAAATGTCATTACTGTCTTACACCCCAGTTATTCATTAACTCCTTACTACTACCCTTCTAAAAGTCTCCTAAGAGCTTGCCATATATTTTCTATTCAAAGGCATTTAAATCTTTATGTACTTACCAAATAGGCAAAGACTGCTTCATGAAAATTTTAACCATTCAGGGTACATAGATTTTGAAATACGTAAAGGACCTTTTCCACACATGGGAGGATGCTTGGTCACATGCTGGAAGTTACTGTGCTTTCCCCACTTTACAAAGGAGCATTGGCCAATGCCCATAAAAGAGAGTATTGATTGTAATAAGGAGAGTTGACTGTATACCAGGCTGCCTGAGAGAGACTTTGTGTCTTGCTATCTGCTTACTAGCCATGTGATCTTGGGAAAGTTACCTTCCTCTCTCTTCTTCAGTTTCCTCATCTGTAATGATGACATAAATAATAATGCCTAACACACCTGTTATGAATAGCTGACTACTTATTCTCATGTAAGCTCTCAGAACCATGCCTGCCACAAGAAATGATACACAGATATTGTTAGCCTTTTCAAATTAATTATTTCTCTAATCACATTCAAACTTCTATGAGTTACCTTCTTACCTAAGTTATAAGTAAAACACTTTTCCTTTTTCTTATGGTTAATAGCTGACATATAGATTTTGACAAGTATGTTTGGAAGTCAACCAAATACACCCCACATTCTTTTTTCCACATGAAAGCGCCACTGAAAACTATGGAGACAATTAGCATTTATGTCAAAGGGAAAAAAAGCAATGAATTGCACTGATACTTTTTCTTAGTTGTGCATACCAAATTTAACTTATTTTTTCATCTGTAAATACAAATAATGATCAGTATCCAGAAGAACCAGAACCATGTGTGTTTTCTGGAAAAATATATGAGGAAATACATTTATATGCATTATATATAATGATATATGTCATATATAATTATGTGCATATACACATATATCTCATATATAATTACATACCTCATATATAATTGCATTATATATTTAATATATGCATTATATATGGTATAATACATATATTACATAATGCATATTTTTATATGCAACTATATGCAATTATGTATAATTACGTATATGTTAATTACTAATTTTTCCATATAAATATATATTAGGGAAGCACCTCAGGTACCTTATTTATAATCAATCAACATATTTATTTTAATATTTATTCACTAAATAGTAATTAACATATATAATTACATATCACACACATAATTATATGTCACATTAATAATCGATAATATATATTAATTACTATTTACTCAGGACATATTGAAACAAATATGTTGATTATAAATGATGACACATTATTAAGGGTAACACACAAAGCCATTTGAAAAAAATGTTGTCATTAGTTTTTAGGGTTTAAATTTCTCCAGAAAAAGGGGTGCTGTTGGGTGCTTTTAGCCGGAGCCTATTGCTATTTTCTTGAAACACAGAACCACCAAAACCTGTTAGCACCAGGGCTGTATGGATTTGTGAATTCCTCCAGATGGAGTTTACCTTGTTCCAAACACAAATGTTGATAAGAGTTGCGTAGCTCCTGTGGGATTCCTCCCACATAAACGGGTGAATTCACCACCAGTGGCTGGGCGCCAGACTCTGATGCATGCTTCATCAGTCCATTCATACTTGCTGATATGAAAGAGCCTTCCTTTTTAACAATGACTTTATTCCACTTTCCATCACAATAGGATAGTTCCAGTAATAGATCCACTTGTGTAAAGGCAAGACTGGTATTTAACCGGAAGCTCAATATTCCACTTTTCAGTTCCATCTGTATTTTATATTAAAAAAGAAAGTAGGTATATAAAAAGGCTGCAGAAGGGCAGTTTGGGAGAAAGTACAAGGTCAATTTCTTTTTTTTTTTTCCACTTATTTATTTTATTGCATTTTAGGTTTTGGGGTACATGTGAAGAACATGCAAGATTGTTGCATAGGTACACACGCAGCAGTGTGATTTGCTGCCTTCCTCCCCATCACCTACATCTGACATCTCTCCCCTTGCTATCTCTCCCCAACTCCCCACCCCTCACCGTCCCTCCCCTATTTCTCCCCAACTGACCCCAGTATGTAGTGCTCCCCTCCCTGTGTCTATAGAAATGTTCCACTTTATCCTAAGCTTCTGCTTGGGAATATAGGAAATACTTTTCAAGCTTATAGTTGACATGAAGAATGTTGTATTGAGTCAAACAAATTTACCTAGTAATGATTATACGATGTGATGCAATGTTATATAGACCTAAGGTTTATTTTTGGTGCAACATACTTAAAAGACAAAACCTCATCATAAGTGACTGAATGACTGAAAAGGACAGAACAGTTTGAACTGTGACTCTTTTTGAATTTTTAGAAAATGAGAAAATACTACTTCATATATCAATTTAATTTTGGGGAAATATGACAAGACAATAAGAAAATGAAATGTCAAGCTTGATTAAGCTTATTTTAACTGGCTAGTGAACTCAATTTCAAATTTGTAAGACATATTTTGATTCATTATTTCAGTTTTATTCTAAATCTCTAACATAATTTCTTCTATGTGTATTCTATTAGATTACTGTTGCATTTTCTAATATGAACATATTTCTCCCAAATTTTCATGGTAAAACATAAGTTCATACGTTTTCCTTCAAAATGTCTCATGATCATTATTTTACCTAGTATATTTTTACTTCATGAGAAACCATATCAGTGGCCACAGGATATGTAAAATCTTGAGATCAACTGTGTCAAGTAAAACAAATTAAATCATACCAGGTATAAACTATGAATTTTTCCATAAAAGTATCACCTTCAGGAAGGATCTCAGGTAAGCACTTGTTCATTTGTCTATCCATTTATTCAATAAATATCGAGCCTCTTACCATGTGCCCTATGCCTGCTGCTCTAAGGTAAACACTGCTCCTAAGAGTCATACTGTCTAGCAGCAGAGGCAAACATGTGGGGCAATACTACAACCAAGACAGGAAAAAGGTAAAATGAAAGCCTTTTGCTCCCTGGAAGTTGGGAAAGGTTTAAAGTAAGGTTGCAGAAAGTATTTAAGATTCATGGAGGGTCACCCAAGGAGGGAGACTAATATGCAAGAAATGAGAACATTAGGTTTAGAGAAAGGCACTAAGTTAGGTAAGACAAAGGGAGGTGGGAAGTGGGAGGTGAGGTAGTGTCTTGCCAGCTATGTAGAAGCCAGATTTTAAAGGCCTTTCAGTGATAGGAGAGTCTCATATGGAAAGAATGTTTGCTGTCTGACATCAAAACCCATATTCTTTCCACTATTACCTTGCACTAAAAGTTTACCCTACCAGACATAAGCAGTACATACTGAAAACAAAATTTCGACTAGAATTCAGGAAATGCATTAGGAAATCCATATATTTGTGAAAACATGTTGAGAGCCATTAAAATAAGGATAATGATGATGCTGATGATAGGGAAGACTCGATCTAAGAAGTATTTGTAAAAGTAACTCATTAGGACCTGGTAAAAAGGTAAATGTGTTCGATGAATGAAAAAGAAGTTAAGAACACCCCTCATCTTTTTTGGGTAACTACGAGGGTGTTTTGCCATCATCATGATATGAAAAGCATTTAAAGAAAGGCTGAGTGTTGTTCTTCACAAGGGGAAGGGGTGAGTTTATTTTAGATACATTGAGTTTGAAATGCCTATAAAACATCCGGATGACACTCTTTTTGAGGAAGTCAAACATAAAGATACTCAGTTTGGTTATGGCCCAGTAAAATGGAGAAAATACATGACAAAATAAATAAGATTATCCAGTGAGTATAAAAAGACTGAGAGAAAAGGGAAAAGAATAACATCCTCAGCAAGACCAATGTTTTAAGGGGACAGCATAATAGAAATAGTTATTTTAAGTGACAATGATCTCCTTGACGAAGCTAAGAGAACTTAATGAAATCAGAAGAAACTAGTATGTTGGCAAATCAGTATGGAAGAATAAGAAAGAACAGAGATTGACAGAGAAAGAACAAATAAGAAACAAAAAATTGTTGGACTAGGAAATGCAGGGATCATTGACCACTTTAGAAAAGTGATTTTGTAGGAGGGTGCAGTAGTGGTAGGAACCTAATGGACATTCGTTTTAGGGACCAAAGTGAGATGAAAAAGTGGCAATAACAAAACTAACCACTTTGAATGCACTTGACCATGAAGGTAAGGAAATGTACAGCAGGGGAGGCTTCACAGGCAAAAGAAAAATACTAAGAGGCCAGGTGAGGTGCCTCATGCCTGTAATCCCAGCACTTTGGGAAGCCTAGGTGGGTGGATCACAAGGTCAGCAGGTCCAGACCATCCTGGCTAACATGTGAAACCCTGTCTCTACTAAAAATAGAAAAAATTAGCTGGACGTGGTGGCACATGCAGAGGTGCCATCATAGGTCACTGCAGCCTTGGACTCCCCAGCTTCAGCAATCCACCTGCCTCAGCTTCCGAAGTAGCTGGAACTAGCCACAGTGCCTGGCTATTTTTTTATTTTTATTTTTGTAGAGAGAGGGTTTCACTATGTTGCCAAGGCTTGCCTCGAACTACTGGCCTCAAGCTATCCTATAATCCCAGGCCTCCTGTAATCCAAGGTCTAAAAATGCTGGGATTACAGGAGCAAGCCACTGCACCCAGCCTTAATTTTTCCTTTTTTTTTTAGTAAAAGTTACATAGGTTAATTTTATTATTTAATACAGTAAAAAAGCAATGAATGGAAGAAAGTGGAGAGTGGAAGGGTGGCATAGCAGTGTAGACCTCCAGTGCAGGCATAGGGTCCTCAAGAGGAGGAGCCAAATGGTAAACATTTGTATCCTTCACAGTGCATGCAAATGTAGATGACTCAACAATGCTCAGTGAAGGTTACCACAGCAGAGCTCATTCACATGTTCACTCATTCATTCATTCACCAATATTGATTAACATAATAATTGATAAGGCTTAGGCACCGAGGATACAATTATAAAGAAGAGAACCAAGGTCCTTGGATTCATAGAGATTACGTTCAGAGAAAGAAGCCAACAATTCCCAAGGTGACAAATAAATATTTAAAGAAGCGGAAATTTTAATAAATACTATGAAGAGATAGGTTTCCATTTCCCTTCTTAGCAATGTTGGCATTGTATGTACTAGGAATGTAAAAGTCATTGCATTGAACGTATCTTGGAATCTTAATTCACCAAGACTTGGATTTAATTGTCTATTTGCCTAGAAATCAAGAATCTAAGGGTAAGATTTGCATATTTTTCTCCTGTTTCTATGCTAGTTATTTAAAATAACTTTTTAAAATTAACATTTTTTTATAACAGATTTAACAGTAGTATCAGACTAATGATTACAGACAAGTAAAAGCAGTTACAGCTGCCTATTGTATTTAGAAAAATGTATAAAAATGTTTATAGCCGTCTTATTCATTGTAGTAAAAATGGGAACAACCAATACATCGATAAGAGAAGAAATATACTACACATCCATGAAAATGTATAGCTATGTGGACACATAAATGACTCAGAAACAATGTTGAATGCTAAATATAGAGTATAAAACCAATTTTATAAATTTCAAAAGCAAGAATTTTTAGGCATTCATATAAGTGTTCAAACTATAAAATGCATGTGAATAATAAATATAAAATTCTGATTACATATTACATCTGAAAGGAGTTGGAAACAGGATAGGAAAGACTTTTATAGAGAGACAAAAAACGATAATATTTTAGTTATCAGGTATAGTGATAGGTTCGGGAGTGTTCACTATATTACCATACTTGATTATACGCCATATGAAAAATATATAATATATATTTTTTGAAACCCATATCAAAAGATAATGAGGGAAAAGGTGTTTTCCATATATTAAGATACTAAACTGGATTTTCTTAATTCATTTTATCTAGTCTGTTTTCTTAAAATTATAATTTTTACAGTTGTCATTTAAAAAAATTTCTAGGATTATAAAATAAAAAATGTTTCACAGGCCTTCAAAATTAAAAATGACTTTGGGGAAAAAAATGAAAACAAATGTGAATTTGTAAAGGAACCCCAGTTGAGTGTAATGCCAACACACGGTTTGTTTATTTTAAAGTTGGGTCTGATATTTTAAAGTAATTTTAATCAAATTAATTCACTCACAGCAAGAAAATCAGGTCCATCTTTGTTGTAAATGAAAAGAAGCAATCCATTTAATTGGTCAGTTCTGAACTTCAAGGAAATCTCAAAGTTCATTCCACCATGAAACACATGTGGATGAAGTTCCAGGAACCCTTTAAAGATAAAAATATGTATACATTAGCATGTGTAATACAATACTACCCACATTCTAAGGGTGCTGTGAAACTTTTGGACACATTCTACCATTGAGTATGTCTCACAAAAGAAGATGCAAATCAATGTTAAGAAATCCCTTTTGTAATTGTACAGAAGTGGCAGAAAGACCTTGATATATTAACGCTTTTTAAGAGGAAGAAATCTGCTCTCTAAATCATGTATTGTCTGTACTATGTAAGATTATTACTGTTTCAAATAAATATTAACAAGAAGTAGTTTGCATTGACTGAAAGAAACTCAGAATGACATTGATGAAAGCAGAACAATAAAAGGTGGGCAGATTTTATTATTAATGTCATATGCCTTTCTGTACTGAAGGCAGTTTAAGCAACATAATAATCAACGAACTTAGCTATAAATGTAGAAGGTGGAGATGGGCTTTTAGTTGAAGAACAAGCTGCCATTATCCCTCTCCCCTTCCCCCTGGTGGAAGTCTCTGCTCTGGCTAGGCAGAGACTCAGTGTGTGTGAGTCAGGGGTAAACTACAGACACTTACACCTCCCCTTTTATTGTAACCTTTTGAGCAGTGGCAGGGATGGTGGTTCTAGTCGCCAGCTCTGTCTCAATGGCCTATGTACCTCATTACCTCGCCGAAAATTAACTTTTTAAAAACATTGTTCTTCTATATAATGAGATAAATAAGTATTTGTGGATTCACCTAACAAACAAAACTCCTTTGAAACATCTTTCTAAGTGCATTCTAAGTACACATCTCTAACTGTATTCTAATTTCCAAACAACCGACTTGCAAATGGACATTGGTGAAGCTAACATATGTAAATCAGGAATTGCATGGGCTACCAGAGATATTATACATGGGTGTATACTTATGAGTCTTATAATTTATATTGCATATTCAGACGTTGAGAATAAATTCGTGTGCACCATTGGAATAACCAGATATTTCTGGGATACTAGGTTTGTATGAGGTCAAGTTAATCAAACATGAGAGATTAAATTATACCAAGGATAGAACATAGATTCTAAGTGAACACGCATGTCTCTTCTAGAGCATTACCTGCTCCTAGGAACTGAGCTCCCTCATTTAATGAAGCAGGGCATCCCTCCCAGCTGTTATACACGTTGATTTGTTCTTCAGAGCTCTGCCAATCCAGAGGTTCCCAAATAGCCGACGGACTGTAATTCTTCATAAAATGTACATCCTTGAGACAGCCCACAAAACCCTTTTGGATTATCTCTGCAGGAGTTTATAGATATCAAGAAATATGTATTTTGAAAAATTATTCCCAAGCAATTAATTTTATGTGCCATTAAAATCAAAGAAATAGGCACTAGCTCTCACTACCTATTTACTGCAAGCCTCTTAGTGATTCATGTAAACACCACACCATCAGCTATAGTAAATGACAGCAGTTATAATGTTTAGCACTGGTTCAAACCCATCATATCTACAGAAACAGATGTTCATGCAGAAACCTTGGTTTTGCAGTAGCAAGAATATTGCCTTTTCAACTAACCCAGAAAATTCATCTGCCACTGGCCTCCAAAAGAAAATACTATAACTTTAAAAGTCAGGTTTGAAGGGAGTGTTTCTATTTAATACATAGTTTACAGTTTTGATTCCTCATCTATGAACTAGTATGTTACCAAAGTAAATTGATAATTTGGTTTCATGTTTCTGGAAATGTATATAGTGTTGATCTTGAATGTGGAACTCTCCAGGCCAGGTAGATGTGGGGTTTATAAATACAACGAATAGGGTGATAACAGAAGGTTGAGAGAGAAAATGTGAAAATGAGAGAATTAGAGAAAAAGCAAGAAAAAAATCAAAAGGAGTGGAGGGCGCACTGAGGTTGAATTTCACATACCCATCTCCTTTCCTATGGGGGCAAAGCTTAGTTTTCAGCTTTGAGTTTATGAGAGTTTTTTTAAGGCCAATTTACATAGACAAAATAAAATTTTTTATTCATAATGCAGATGTGTCCTCTGCAGGAAAAGTACTTAATGTCAGGGTATTCTCTCTTTCTAGTACCTGAAAATATTTCCCAGAAGGGCAAAAACCTAAAACAAAGGGGTGTGTGTGTGTGTTTTAGAGGGATTTCTCTATCAGCCTCAAGTAGTTGAATGGAAACCCTCTCTAATCTAGACATTTCCAAAGAGGTAACTATAATCAGCCTTGAGGATTCAATTATATCCCTTTCCTAAATTTGCTGAACACTTTCTATTCCTTTTGATCTTCATCAGGATTCCCTGAAGACTACAACCCATGAACAAATTATACTTATCTGGGTCCTAGCTTATTTGCAATATTTATGTAGTTATATTTTAACTTCCTGGGAGAGACTTGGGAGGCACCCTGTGATTCTTAATGAGGGCTTGGGAAACAATCCTAGAATTATTAGCATTGCGTTTGAAGGGTGATTTTTTTTCCTACCTAAGGTTAATTCCATTCATGTTCGTTTTAATTAGTTTCATTTTAGAATATGTTCTTGTGCTCTTGTTCTAAAAATATGAGAATCACTTTGTCTGTAGCTCAATTATAGCTCTTACAGCATTAGGTTGGAATTATCTGTTTATACACCTGTGACCTCTATTGTGATAAAGACCACATTTTATTCATTTATGAATATCTAGGGATTGGTTTAGTGCCTGTCACAGAGTATTCAGGGAATGTTCCTCACCCTATTTAGAGTATAAATCAAGCTTGTAGCTTTCCGTTTCCGTGTTGTTTACATTCAATTTAAAATCTTAGAAAAAACTATGCATAAGTCCTAAAATAACATACCTTTGACTGAAATTATTATAATTCATTTCAGCAAAAGTTTTAATGAATTCCTTTTACATATCGAGAACTGGGTACTAATAATAAAAATACAAGTCATATGGAATACATGGTTCCTTTAAAAAGAGGAAATTTTTGGCACATTGATATAGAAAATATAGCATGAGGTAGAACATAACACTTATTCTTACTTTAAAATAATGTAAACTGATCCTATTCTAAGTTTGGATGACAACACATAATATTCCTTACTAAACTTACCAGAATCCTTCCTAAGGATGGTGTAACTTTGAGGCAGCCCTCCCAGAAACACTCCTGTGTTATCTCCAATAACGGTACTACCATTCAGCGTGGCAGAGGAACCTAGAGAAACGGAGATAAGAAATATACCTTCACCAGGATACACCATTTGTACTAACTCAGCAAATAATAAAATTCTTCAGCAGCCTTCGGGATACCATTCTCTTGGTTCTCCTCTCTCCTCATTGCCTGTTCATTATTGGTCTTCACTGGTTCTTCCTCAGCATCCCAGCATCACGATGTCAGAATGATCCAAACCACCTCTCTCTCAGACCTCTTCCTTTCTCTATCTATACGGACCCTCTAAGTAGTCTAGAGGGATGAATAGTACATTGAGTTCCAATATAAACTACCAGGGCCAAAGGCCACAGGGAGCCTGGTTCTCTGACTGTGTGGCATAACATGGAAATCCCTGTTCCTATTTTGAATGCCCACCTTCTTTGAGACGAGGGACAAAGTTATTTGTGTTTATTTTTCCAGGCCCCAATCCACTTCAATGAGCCCTACTTATATCGGTTCCCTTGGTTTTCAGTATCGTCCTTTGCTGGCAGCTCCAACTTAGGAACTCAGGCTTGTTTCTTGAGCAGCCTGCCTGCTGTCTCCCCATGGATGTCTCAGAAATCTCAGCCTTAACATGTTCACAGCTGAACTTTGAACGTCTCTCTCCAAACTTGCTTCTCCCACGTGGTGCACTCTCTGGTTTTGGCAGCTACATTCCTCCAGTTGCCTGAGACCCAAACCTGCCAGGCTTGCTCTACATTAGGGGCCGGCAAACTCTGTCAAAGGCCAGATAGTGTCTCTGTAGACTATTCAGACTCAAGCAGCCATAGATAATACATCAATGAATGGGTGTAGCTATGCTCCAATAAACTTTATAAAAACAGGCGTGAGCTAGATTTAGCCCATGGGTGATAGTGTATCAGCCCCTGTTTTACCTCAATCTCATCATCAAATCCTGTTAATTTGACACTCACAGTATAACCAAAATCTGAACACTTCCTATTATATCCACAATTGCCTCTCTGGTTCAGGTCTCCATGACTTCTTATCTGAATTCTTACAGAGGTTATTGCAGAAGCCTGCTAACTGATCTCATGTTTTCACCCTCATTCCCCTTAACATTTACTCTCAAGAGAGCAGCCAGTGTGATCCTTTTAAAGAAAGCAGTCATATCATGTCATTCCTCCCTCAAAATCCTCCAACAATTTCCTTCTTTCTAAGTAAAAGCCCACAAAGTCCCCTATAACCCGATCCCTAACAGCCTCTGTGACCTTCTGTCCTATCATTAGCCCTTTCACACCCCCTTTCCCACACTGACCATCTTGTTGGTCCCTGACATGCCACATATAGTGTGTTCCCACCTCAGGGCCCTGATACTTGCTGTCCTTTCAACCCAAAGCATCCTCTTCCTGGATATTTGCATGGTTTGCTCATTTGTCCCTTAAGGTCTGTGCTTAAATGTCACCTCATCAGAGAGACCTTCTTTAACACAGTCCTGTATAAAATTGTAACACACCCAACACACACACACTTTCCTTCTCATCTTGCTTTTTCATTCTCAGAATTTACCACCACTTGATGTTTGTTTAATTTATTCTGTATTTTGTCACCCCATTCCTCCCCCAAAATGTAAGTTCTACAGTGTTCTCTTTGCTCCTTGTATCCAGAGTGCCTAGAACAATACCTAGAACATAGGTACTGATTAAAATTATATATTTCCTGAATGATTTAATAAAGGCCTACATCATCATGCAGGTACAGTGACCATGTTGTAATTACATAAAGGTGGCAGATAGGGTAGGCTGGAGCAAAAACTAAACTTAAATTTGCAAAAACAAGATGTGTGTCCCAAGAATGCTTCCTATCAACTGTGTAAGTTAGGAAAAAATATTTACATTTTCTCAGTCTTAGTTTCCTCATCTCCAAATGCAGACAAAAACTGTTCTCCTCTACTTTATTTGCCTTTTGGAGGTCAAAAGTAACATGAGAGAACGTAACTAAAAGCCCGTGCAAATTTTAGAGAACTGTAAAAGACATAGAATGTCTACTGGTGACTTAATTCTTATTTTTTTTTTTTTTACTTAAGTCCTGTGCGGATGAAAAACTGATTGCTAGGCTTCATCATTTTAGGAGCACCCCAAAGGCAAATTCAACAGCAATTTAGATGAAATTGAGTAGAAATGATGGTAAAATAAGAATGTAGGAATATAGGCAACAGATAAGTATGGCAACACCAACATATCAACAGGGCCATTTATACATATCAAAAAGTACTTACCTGTATATATCCCATCCACAGTGATTTGGCCAAAAGCCTGATGCCTAATAGCAATTATTTCATGCCATTTGCCATCACTATATTGTTTACCATGATCATTAGTTGTAGTTACTTCCACTGGTGACCCCTTAAAGGAATGAGTAAATTGAATCAATGTTTATATATGCATATCTATACATATACATACACATACAGACACATACACAGTTATATATTTGTTATAAACCAATTAACAAGTTTCAAAATTATGATCCTGATACAAGCATGCATACATTTCAAACAGAACTCAAAATTGAAGTTAATGTCTAGCATCATTCCAGCTTTCCTGTGATGTATTAATACTTCTCTGAGCACCACAGTGCACAGATCTTTAAAGGTCTCATCTTTGCAATAAGAATTTCTTACAAAGCCACTTGCATTTTCTGATGAGTAGCTATATTCATCAGAAAGGTAAAGAATTTTCAATTCTAAAATTTTAGACTTTAATTTTCATGGCAGACATATAAAAAAGGAGAGAATAATTTAAAACTAATAAAATACCATTCAAAATGGGTTCTCAAGATAGAGAGATACCAGACAAGTCACTCTTAACTTCACAAAACTATCAATAACAAATGGGAATGACATTCACATGAAAAACTAGCCAGTTATGATACATTAAACCTAAGGGTGGAGTTAATGGTAATACACAATGCTTTGTGGTCAAAATCTGACATTTATAGTTCTGGCTAAGGTAATCATATCATAGTTAAAAATGAGTTTCCAAGTGATAAGTCATAGGAAATGGCAGATATTAAGAACAGAGTTTAGCAAGAAAGGAGGTAAGAATTTAAAAAATGAGAAAGAGAAATAGAAGAGACACCTGCCATCTCACTACTTTCGAGCCAAGCAAACACTTTTCCAGTACGTTACGGTAGCCTTGGTTATCTGTAGTAACATTTTCAGTGTTAACAAGAAAATAAGACTAAGTGAAAGATATTCCAACTTTGTCACCAACATCACTACTACTATTAAAGAAAAAAATAAAACAGAAATTACTCTAAAACTTCTACATGAAATAAATTTTATTCTTAATAAATTTGATTTACTTAACAAGAATAAAGCCTATTCTAATAAAATCTTTAACAATTAAAAATAAGATTGGGTAAAATATTACCAAAACATTTAATTACCAGAAAATTTCACCAAACTGTAATAGTTTTGCTATATTGTTTTTTCAAAAAGAGACAGTAAATAAATGTTTTATGTAATGGAGCTGAAGATGTATTTTGAAATACATACAATGTTAATCATACTATCTTTAGTATGATTTCTGTTTATCTTTCTCTGAAATAGCTTCTGTGATATAACATGTCCACGCTACACATTTAATTGGCTCCTGTCGGGCCTCAGAAAGACCTTGACAACATGCATGACATACAGAATTTCATGTTCACCAAAGTGAAAAAAAAACAAAACAAAACAAGCTTTTAATTTCCCATGAGTATGAGTGGGTTACCTCTCACATGGACAACATCCCAACTTTTACAGACAACTCTGTCAGCTAGAAACATGACCATTTGGCAAGTTCTAGACTTTGTATTTTTGTAGGTTGACTTTTCTTATATTTGTCTACACACTTTATTTTCTTCAGTGCTATTTCAACATTTTAATATTTTAGAAACACACATTTCATTATCGTAGTTTAATAATTAAAACTAGAACTGGTGTCGTGCCCAATTAATGTGCCCTGGTAGCATGCCCATTAGTTTTTCCATTAGTGAATTCAACAATACTAATGGGATTACTAGCATGGGATGCTAATTGGGCGTGACATAAGAAACTGGCTTACTTCTTAGCATACCCTTGCTAATGATGAAATTAATGAGCATTTTATTAAATGCTGTCTCATCAAAGTGTACTTAGTTAGTGTTAAAATTGTTACAAACGATGCTGCATTCTAAAGATCAGGTGTCTGAGTAAGTGGTTCTTCATATTTTGTTTGGCAACTATCTGAAGCATTAATAGTTCTCTAGATCAGAAATCACATTTATTGGAGACAAATTCAAGTACATTACCTACAGCCTCAGCATGCCAACCTTACTTTATACTGACAGCAATTTAGCACATCATTTTTTGATAATTATTTTAAGACTGCTTTCCCCTACCAATGTTAAAAGAACAATTCTGTGATGACTTCTGGTGTCCTATTATGCATGTTGTCCTTTCTATTTAGAACATATCAGACACATTCAATAGATGCTATTCAGAACTGTGTAAAAGCTTTCATTTTAACAGCTTGCTTCCAGGTAAGGTCAGAATATGACGTGAATTTCCTGTAAATGTCACTGAACATAGAATATTTAAGGGATAAACATGGGTCATTACTGGTCACTAAAATATTATCTGAACAAATATACTCAAAATTGAATTTAATTAAATGAAGAATGAGAAAAATACAGCTAATTGTTGGATATAACAAAAATTACAGTAATTAAAAGATAGAGTTAACTTTTCTTTCTTGTATCTTTTAACAATGATAAGTGTCCATTTTATAATATACACAGTTCCAATTTTGTATACTATGAAGAATCTCCCTTTCCCTAAACATTTATTCGGTAAAATGCCTTGGATAGTTGGAAGACAAACCAAATACATTTTTATATCTATAGCTTTTATATAGTATTACATTGTTATATAAGGAATTTATTACTAGATTTTATTAAGATATTTTAAAAAGAACAAAGTACATGAGGACCTCCAGTTATTTTAAAATATGTGCTAGACAATTACTTTAAAATTCTTTGAAATTATCTTTGTAATTCAAAATTTGGTTATTTTGAATGAGTTCAGTAAAAACAATTTAAAAAGAACCATCTTATTTTTTCCTGATTAAAGTCAAATGATCTGAAAAACAGATAAATTTAAACAAGGCTGGGCATGGTGGCTCATGTCTGCGATCCCAGCACTATGAGAGGCCAAGATGGGGTGATTGCTTGAGGCCAAGAGTTCGAGACCAACCTGGCAAAACAGCAAGACTTTGTCTCTAATTCTTAAGAAATAAAAAATAAAATAAACATATAACAACTAGATCTTTATATAATCATTACAAAACTAGACATTTTAACCCAGAACCTGGGTAAATTTCTTCAATTATGAGTAGTAGTATTTTACCAACAGTTATTGAGTCAGTCAGCCAGGTAATATGTCAGGGATCACTTATTTACTGAGCAGCTACTATGTTCCAAGGACTGTTCTAAATCCTGAGGAAGTATCTGTGTACAAAACATTCCTAGACTTTGTCCTCACTGGATAATACAGTCTGATAAGAAAGACACCCTAAGTACATACTTACTCGTATGATTTGTATAATATGGTATTCACTAAACTCACCCTCATTTAAAGATTAAAGGAGGAAAAGTGGCTTAAAGTGGTACCCAAAGTATTTAAAATATAAATAAATGTAATGCGAATAGAAGGCATGTGAAATAAACTTCTATCCTTTTTTAAACCCAGGGTAGCTCTAACTTCATACAAGAAGCTGCACTGATATTACTTTGGAAAAGGAGGGCAGACAAGAGAAGAATATTCAAAATTCACCGTCCCTCAGTTTTAACACTTCTTTGTCTAAAAATGAGTGATGATTTCATTATAAATTTAGAAAATATGTTAGTATCTGCATCAGAGTACAAATTCCTTGGAGGTAAGGAAGGACACCGTCCTTGCTAGCATGAGCTCATTGTTTCATATATAGATAGCATCATGACCCATGAGCACTTAGTGTAATGCATCTGATTACATTTTCTCAGCTAGATCCTAAGGCCATCCTGCTCAACCCATACCTTACATTAAAAAAAAAAAAAAAAATTGTCACTTTCCTGAAAACTCGAGCAGCTTTTACCTTATGGAGAGAGATTATTTCAGATAAAAATTTACTTACTAGACATAATTAAACCCTCCCGACTCCCCTTAGCCCTCAACTTGGCTTTAACAATTTTATTAATACTTGGCTGGCACCTATGGACTATGAATACAGGTTAGGGTTTGGCTATACAGGGTAGGGACAGAGCAACTGGGAAAACTAATGGCAGTGACAAGAACTCTAAGTAACTGTGTGAGTGAGAAGTGTAACGCAGGGGCAGAAATGATGGGCAATGCCCTGTGAATGTTTCTCTGAACTCTTTGCCACATTTAGCACCAGCCTGTCCAGGTGATCACTGTAAAGGAAATGAAAAAGACGAGCCCTTCCAGAAGAGTTTCCCAGCTGCCATTCTCCGTTAAGCACTGTTTGACCCCTTTACCCTCCTATCCTGCAGAGTCTTAAAGTATGGCATCCTTTAGAAAAAGTAGCACCACATGTCAAAAGAGACAGTAGTCATGCTTCAGATTTGGGGAAATCATTTTTGGATTAATTCTCCAATGACTGTGCCATATTTAGTGAGGGGTGGGGGGGCTATACTCAAAATCTGTGATGACCAACCAATGGCCAGAATTCTAATGAGTGTCATTTTGTTCATTTCTGTGTTCCCAGGGCATAACTGTGGAGTCCAATAAATTCTTAGCAAAGTTGCATTGAGTGAAATGATTCAGTGCTATTCAAATAATTGAATTCAGTGCTAGTTCTATCCCTAAACCACTGTATGACCCTAGTTAAGCCACTTCATCTAAAGCAGGGATGAAAACAATATCAACCTCAAGGGGCTACTTCAAGAATGAAATGAGATCATTAAGAGGAACCCACTTTGTATACTTTAAAGCTCTATAAATAAGTGGTTCTGTGATTAGTTTTTCTCCATCTGGCTTCTTCTTAAGTATCTCCAGATAGCAACAGGTTGAAGGGGAAAAAGCAGAGCCAGATTTTTCTTTCTCAATGACAGTCTTCTATTTTACCACACTCTCCCCTTTCTTTTTCTGATTTTTGTTGATTTTTTGAACTTAGCCTTGTTAATGTGGATGTCCTGCAGAACACTTTTATTAGTAGTACCTAACTTAGTTTTCTACATTTAAAATCAAAATCAAGCATGTGCCCTATTTAATGACAACAAAACACCAATATAATCTATTCCCTTATTCCACCCACACTCCACCACTAAGCTGATAACTTTAAACTTTTAATTCACTCATCTTTCCTCTCCTTCAATTCTGAGT